CAGGAACAGCATTCCTCCATAAAATTCTTTACAGCACTGTTCCTCCTCTCTAAATATATCTTCAAGGTACAATGCTGGGACATTAAAAAGAGCACCAGAAAACCTGAAAAAGCCTTCTGTAACTTTGAGCCCTGGTCTTGAAAAATTCTTCCATACGTCTCAACCCAGGGATGAAAAGGATTTGGCTCAGCAGTCCTGCCTAAATCGTACCAATCCCTGAATCCTCAAGCTGTACAACTGCACCTTCAAAACATTTTGCACTCTTATGTAAAACTGTGCCATTAAAAAAGCGAAACAGTTAATTAGAGCACTGCCCTCCTCCTCACAAAACACTTAATCTGATGTTAATTTGAAGGACAATAAATCTCCCATGCAAAGATCTGAGGGTCTTTTTAATCAAAATAATTCCTTTTGGGTTTGGCTGTGAATCCTTTCTTCCAGATGAGCCCAGCCAAGGACAACAGATACAAAGAGCAGTGAGACACCACCCAATCTAATTTAGCAAGAATAGAAACTGGCACTTGTGTGCAAGGCAGCACATGGCAATCGCTCATGTGACAGACATGAGCGATTTGTGGCAGTGCTCTGTATTCACGTGCCCAGAGCTCTCTGCAGCAGAAAAAGACACACCTGCAATGGGCTACCCCAGCAGCTGGAACCCTTGTCAGCCCCTGGCATAGCCGGAGATCATCTCTTCCAGGACTCTGAAGGAGAAGCTGCAGTCTCCCTCCATCTTGCTCAGCCGCTGGATATGTAGCTAGAGCCATCTTCTCTTTGCCTGATTCCTTCTCCCCAAACTACAGCTGACGGATCAGCACCTGCCCAGTTCTGGACTGGCCACAGCCAGAGCCACCACTGCCTACTCCCTGCGGGAGGGACAAGCAGAGGTGAGACCAGGAACACTCTGGAGAGGAGAGCACACTGAGGAACTGATGAGAAACAAGGAAAACACAAATGATCCACGAATACTGTGGCTGAGACCCTGAATACAAGGCCATGAAAAACCATTTCATGAGGCTCAATGTGCACAGGGACATTAGTTCTTTCACTTAATTTTTCAGATGATGTTAACTCAGCACCAGACATTCAGAAATTATTTTTCTCAGCTACACTGCAGCAAACATTTTTAAGCTACAGTGGTGAATCAGGCTTGAGCATACAACAACATCCTGATGGGCTGCTATTTGTTTAGAACAAAATGTGGGAGTCTCATTCAAAAACAAGCAACCAATGCTATTTTTTTTTTTTTTTTAACCTGCAAATAAATCTGCTTCAAGTCACTGGGGAATCAGCTTCAGAATAAAAGGTTCCTTTTAACTTTAGGCACTTTTTCCCAGTTTCCCAGGTACATTGGTATCCACTAGAAATCCCAACAGATGGCTACCAAATTAGTTTATGTGGTAACAACATTCTTACTCTACAGACCCTACAAGCTTCATACCTTCAGAATTACTGACACATTATTCAACTTCTACTTTGATGAAAGCTAAGCAATCATTCCTCCTCTAGCTGTGTTTTTCTAAATTTATTTAAAAAAAGGTTAATGAACAGACCATACCAAATTTATGTCAGTACCTAATAAGCCGCTAAGAACGCTGTATCTCAAAATTCAATCCACTAAGAGCAGCAAGCTTAGCTGCTGGTTTGCTTTCATTCACACCTGCTTAATTACAAGAAAAACAAAAAAATACTCTAAGTATTTTTCAAATATCAATTTCCTTGCAATCAGGATCTAGAATCACTACACAACTGTTTCAAAAATCACAAGAGCTGACTTGCACAGCCATCAGCTAGACAGTCCCCAAGGCACAAGATTATGAAATGCAGCACAAGGCGCTTCTGAAGGTGTCAGAGCTAATACAAAATGCTCAATTTTTGAAGACAACAACACATTCAAGTTCAAGTCCTTGACCAAGGAATTCTGAATTACATACACTGAATGATTTTAAATATGATAGACTGAAAAAAATTTCACTTGAATCCTACAAGATAATACAGTGGACTACTGTAAAAAACATATTCACCACAGCAATACCTGCACTTTTTCATTTCTCAGTTTTCTGCTGTCTGGAAGGAGAGGAGCACCATTTGACCAAATACTAAAACCAAGCTTCATGTTGACCAAAATAATGCTATTTTAAAATCAGTTCATACCAGTAAGGTGCTCTACAGAAAAGCATGTGAGAAATGAAAACTTTATCTTCAGAAAAAGATCTAAATACCATGTTTAATGTGAGGTTTAGAGCTGCTGAACAATAGAAAAAAAAATTTAACAATTACTTAGTAACAGAGGATCAGCCTCTCTAAGGTAATGAATGAGGCTAGGTTCCTACATAGTATCACTAGCTGTACTTTTATAAAAGAGCTTAAAAGCAACTTTAATTGTAAAATTTCCCAAGTCTTGGTTACTTTCATTGTCAATCAAGATATTCTCTTAGAATTCTGATCACATATTTAATGCCCTAATTGAGTAGTAACTTTGTACAGACTTTCAAGACCTAGACAGCAGCTTCATTTCTATATGGGATTCCTTAGCCAAATTAGAATTATGCCAGCATTTAGAGATACAGGACACAGGCTCCCCAACTTTCTCTAGAATAAGATAAATTAAAATATTTTGGCAAGGGAACAGTCCCTCACAAGCAGAACTCTTCTTAGAAGCTCTAGCAGTTTCTCATATTAAAGCATTGTATTCGACAATAGCAGAGTCCCTCACCTTACAACAAGCTCTGCTTTGTTAGCAAATAAAATGGTGCTTGTCAATAGAAAGGTTCCTCCTGCTCAAAAGTGAAACTTCTGAGCTAACTTTAAGCATTAACTAGAGAAACATTGCTAATTGAAATGCTGGGTAGAAGGTCTTCAGCAGTTACCCAAAGTACAGAAAGATGAAGTTTGACATATACCTAAAAGCCTGCTGTCCTCACAAGCTCCTCTTCTTGCTGCATGGTCCCACTCCCTCTAACACACCTCCAACTACTCAGTGAGCCAGTTTGACTCAATCATATGCAGGTAAATTATGACTCTTCCCTACCCCCCCAGTTATTTCAGTCTTCTCCTAGAATAACAAACTCTGTCTGCTCACCAAAAGGTCACACAAGTGTCAGGTCACCACAAGCACGATGCTCCTACAGCATGAACTAACACCTTGCTGCTGCCTGTCTCATCCAGCAACTACCTTCAAAAGACAGGCGGTTAAAACAGCCCAATTTCCTCTCAAAAACAAATGGGTTCTTGTAGCAGGCCCAGGGCCTGCAAGGCCTCCTTGGCGGTCAGAAGCCTGAGCTAGGAAATGCCAAGTCACGATGACTGGGCCTTAGAAGCCCCTCTTGTCTGCCTTTGGACCCTGCTTATCTCTCTGTAAGCCTATAGGTCACTTTCCCCTGACCCTTGCTATTGGACAGTTTCCAAAACCCCTGTAGGGTATAAAAACCCCTAATTCTGACTGGTTCGGCAGAAGAGCTGTCACTGAGAACCTTCGTGGAGATCCCCAATAAAGAATTCTTCGGAACCTCACACGGCCTTCTCCTCTCTCTCCCAGCGTCTGCTGTGGCACCAGCAAGCTAAAGAGCTGAAATCACAAAGAGCTGGTATCACTTGAGCTTGCTTAAGGTTGCCTGCGGCTGGGACCTGCTTGGGAGCTCGGACGCTGTGCTGAGCACCGCTGAGCTATCCCCGCCAAGGCAGCCCACCGGGCATAGCCCGGCTGGAAGCCGCCTCAATAGGTTCTTCTCCAGCTCCATTATAAATTACAAGAAAACAAACCTAACTGTGTTAAATGCTTATAAGCATTTGTTTTGTAGGTGTATAGGAACATAAATGCAATTAGCTGGAAAAAAGAGGAAAAGGTCCACACAACTACCTTGCTCTACGGATGCAACACTGAGCTTCTCCCATTCAATTAATTAATTTTAATTAATTGTTTAATTTAGATGCATAAACAGTAAAGTGCATATACTTCCTATTTCCTTTGTGCATTTAAATGCAGCATTTCTGAAATTCAACCATATTTCCATCTGTGAGATAGAAAAAGTTACGTGACAAAATAGTTTCTGAGGAGATCAGTTTCTGAAACGACGCAGACCAATGCAAGGAGCAAGTGGAATTGAAAACCACAAAATTAATCTTCCCAAACCCAGAAGTGAGTTTCAAGATGCTGTCAAAACACTCACTCCCACCACTTTGTCCCAAGCACATGATCAAAGTGACAGTCACAGTGGCATCCTCTGATCTTCTGCCATGAAGTGACCAAACTGTGCCTTGTAATTTTCACAGTGCTAAAGCCTGCTCATTAATTCCACCCGAGGAGGAGACATCTCGTCAATTTCTCTTAAAAAAAAAAAACCCAAATCAAACCAAAAATCAAAACCAAACAAACAAAAAACAAAACCCGCAAACAAACAAAACAAAAATCCCAAAACCCAACAACGCCAACTACTCTGTCTGTCACACGTTCCGGACTCTCACCCCTATACACACTTTGCATACTCTCGGGCGAGTGTAAGTTTATTTTCACAGCAAGCAGAATCTCCCCTTTATCCGCCTCTTGGCTCACACCGAACACTTCACAGCCTGCAGGAGGGGGTCACCCGCGGGCCGAGCATGCCAAACCCCACTCAGCCCCTGCCCTGCCCCTGTGCCCCGGGTTGCCTCCACAGCCACGGCTCCCCGCCGAGCCGCGGTCGAGCCCCGCCCGAGTGAAGCCCTCCGACCGCCAGCTCCCCGTGGGAGTGCGGGAGCGGGCAGGAAAAAAATGTTCCTTGTTTAGTTTTTTGTTTTGGTTTGGTTTTTTGGGGTTTTTTGGTTTTTTTGTTTTTTTTTTTTTTTTTTTTCAAAACAGGGCTCTTCTCTCGCCCTTTGTGGGTCAGGCAGGGGACAGGTTCGGCGTGAAGGGCCACATGCCGAGGGGCGCCCCCTCCCAGCAGCAGAGCCCCGGAGGGTTGGTTTCCCTCCCCCGGCCGCTTGGGGCTACGGGGCTCGCCCACCGCCGCTCTCGCACCCACCTTTCTGCGCCTCGGTGCCCCGCAGCAGCAGCAGCAGAAGGAGGAGGCTGAGGCAGAGCAGCGAGGCCGCCCGCCGGGTCCCCGGGGGGAGCGACCGCCCCGGGCTCACCATGCCCCGCGGCGTGGCCGGCGCGCCCGGCGGTCCCAAGGCATCGCGGGCTGCCGGGCGGCCGCGCCGGGCCGCGTCTGAGC